CCTGCTCCCTTCATGAACTTAAAATGATGTTTCTCCCAGGTGCTGTGTGGAGGTGTGCAGAGGATGGCTAAATTGTTGCCTTCGTCTTTTTGCTGAGGTTAAATGGGGGCCAATGGCACATGCTCTCGCTGAGCCACTCTTGCGGAACCACTGCAAATGGCAGATCCTCCTCGCTGATAAACTGAACAATGTGAACCATCTAAAATAGAAGAACATTTTGCATAAAGTATACTTTTTGATTAATTTCCAGGGAAAATCAATAACATTAAAATGCTCACCCCTTCAAAAAACGAGTCATTTTCACAAGTGGATCAACAGAAAACCATGTTCAGACAAACACAATCATATACACATATACATATATATATATATATATATACACATACATCGTTATTTTTGTAAGAAAACACCAAAAGTTAAACTTTCTAGATGTAAAGCTTTCTTTCTAGATGTAAAGCTTTGGCGATCTACTGTAGCTAGATACATTTCAACATGTCGAACATGCTTGAATTCAGTGAGTAAAAAAGGCGAAGCAGCATGTGTTAGCTAACACTGTAAGTTAAACTAGACTAGCAGCATGGTTGTCGAATCAAACAAAACATCATTATGTTTAGTTAGAAAACAACACAAGTTATACTGATCAGTCTTTCTTGTTGTAAAGATTTTGCTAACGTTACCATTCCCACGTGGGCGGGAGAATTGTCCTTCAGGATTTGGTTACGTAAGTTAGTTAATTATTCGACTGACCAATACTATCTTAAACCACATACTGTAGTACTCACACTTGCATAAACATACGTAAATATAGTTAAAAGAAGAAAAGAAAAAACTAACGCCAGGAAGAAACTAAGTAACGTTAGCCTAACTAACGTTAGCTATGTCAGAAACATGACGAAAACTTTGTAAACAAGGCTAACTTACTAGCTTGACTAGTAAGGCAAGAACATATTTGAAAAAGATGAACTAAAAATGAACATAATATTGCGTTACACAAAAAGGAAAAATGTACTTACTTCAAAGATCGTAGTCAATGACTATAGGATATCGTCTCCAAATACTGAAATCGTGTGACGAGTGGCCACTGTTGTGTTGGTAAATCTGCTTCCGTTTTTTAGGGACTGCCTCTCTCGGCCGGTGGAGGTACTTCTCTGTTTGTGCTTTAATACTTTCTTAAACATTTGTACAGATTGCAAAACTCGCAATTGCAAATTAATCCCTTACCTGTAAAAGGTAAAATAAAAATAAAAAATCGAGCTTGTAAAAAAAATGAAAGACATAAACGAAATTTCCTGGGGTGACAGAGAGACAAAATATTTCTAAATATTTCACTTTATCTTTCAGGTCAAAACAGGGATTTTCATGTTTATTATAAATATTACCATGGTTGCAAATTAATAAAAAAAATCTAAAGCATACCCAAGCTTTTGGCCAAGTTGCAGATGTCTTTCACTGTTCACTGATTTCAGGCATTGGTGAAAAGTCTAACTTCATCCATTTATTCTGCTAAATTGTTCATACCATGAATGAAATATTTATTTTAAAACCTAATCAGAATCAGAAAGATATTTATTGCCAAGTAAGTTTTACAAAAGGAATTCTTTTTGGACTATTTGTGCATCTCAATATTGTGCATAAATCAAAGAAATGTAAAGAATTGTCACCTTAAGTGAATAAAATAATTCTATATATTTTACATAGGCCTATCACTGAATCGCTTCAGAGTTTCAACGTAATTTAAATGTATTTTCCTAAACCTTATCATGGAATCAGACTGAGTCAAATCTGTTATAAACCCTAATGACTTTGGAGCAACAACAATAACAAAATTTGATATAATTCACATAATAATTATAATCGCTTTAAATGTGAAAGTTAAAATGCTGTCAGTTCCACTCATGCCAATGACATGGCTGGTCGATTTCAATTCGGCTTGCCGCCAGCCGGCCGCGGTTCATTTAGACGGCGGCAACCGCCAGAGAGAATGAAGTCGGCGGCCCGGCGGCTGTTCGCCGGCGGCATCTCGCAAGAAATGGGAGTGACGTATTCGGCGGCAAACGTTTCATCTCCGCCAGCGGGGCGCACCTATAGCCGACAGTTTGGGGCCGGCGGCAAAAAGAAGCCGTGCCGATATTTTTTGCTATCTGGGTAACCCACCCAAACAAGCAGTGGAGAGGCTTTGGCAGGTTCTCTCAGGTGAACAGAAAGGGAGACAGCGCTCCGCGAGTGAATGACAGGCGCTCTATGGATAGTAACCATGGCAACGGCTTCTGTGCGCTACGCAGCTGTAGTCTTTTTAACTTAAATTAAAATTATACATAACTTTACCTGATAGGCCTGCGTTTAGTTTAGCGGGGATGCTCTGCCATGTGAATTCCCTCCTGTTGATGTCCTGATAACTATTTAGATTCTGGAAACTCACAAACAGCGAGCCGAGGATCAGTCTCTCTTCCAATGATTTGTGCTGCGCGTCGTGTACAAAAAGTTAGACAATTCAACTTCGGCAACGCGCGGGCGCGTGCGTGAGGCGAGCATGACCGCAATAGTTTCACAGGAACGCAACCGCTTGTCGCTGCACCTGTGCTCGACCACCTCACCTCACTCTAGGCTGATTTATACTTCTGCGTCGGACCTACACCGGAGCCTCTACGCTATAGACCACGCGTTGGTTTTAATTTATATATCTGCGTCGTTGTCCCCGTTGACGCGCAATTACACATGCAGAGGGAGAGTGTGAAACCCGGGGAGCGGTTCTAGCCATCACAGCGCTTGCGGTACGCGTAGAATTGAAGTTACATTTTTGGAGAGATGCACGTCAGGGTACGCGCGCTACACAGCTACGGCGTGAGTTCGACGCAGAAGTATAAATTGGGCTTTACCTCTGTTTAATGTAATCTTACGTGGGAAACCATGGCATGCCATGACCAAACCTAAGCTGCTATCAGAGAAGTAACGTTGGTCGACTTATATCTGTAGTGATCATGACCCTTTGACTACATAGACTGTTTCTGCTGCTCCCTGATACAAGATACCTGTTCAGAAAAAAAAGAAAAAAGAAAACTGGACTCGTTTTAACTAGCTAGATAAAAGGTAATGCCCTGGCAGTGGCAAATAGCTTTGTTTAAATATTTGATTTGATTACGTTAATGTTTAAGTTGAGATTTACAAGAAATATTTTATTGCTACAGTGTAAAGGGAATACTGCTGGTATAAAGCACCTTATTTGTTTAAAGTTTTTGCAAACCACATGTTATTGCACTTTTGTAGCAGTACATTTAAATCAAAAGTGCGCAATACACTACTTTAGAATTCATTATTCAATTTTACGCGTAACAATGCGATTAATCGCGATTAATCGCAAGAAAATCATGCGATTAATCGCGATTAAATTTTTTAATCGTTGCCCAGCACTAATATATATATATATATATATATATATATATATATATATATATATATATATATATATATATATATATATATATAAATACAATATTATAAATGGCTTTACTGTCACTTTTAATCATTTTAATATAGCCTATTCCTGCTGGAAAAAGTATTCATTTATATATACACTCACCTAAAGGATTATTAGGAACACCTGTTCAATTTCTTATTAATGCAATTATCTAATCAACCAATCACACGGCAGTTGCTTCAATGCATTTAGGGGTGTGGTCCTGGTCAAGACAATCTCCTGAACTCCAAACTGAATGTCAGAATGGGAAAGAAAGGTGATTTAAGCTATTTCGAGCGTGGCATGGTTGTTGGTGCCAGACGGGCCGGTCTGAGTATTTCACAATCTGCTCAGTTACTGGGATTTTCACGCACAAGCATTTCTAGGGTTTACAAAGAATGGTGTGAAAAGGGAAAAACATCCAGTATGCGGCAGTCCTGTGGGCGAAAATGGCTTGTTGATGCTAGAGGTCAGAGGAGAATGGGCCGACTGATTCAAGCTGATAGAAGAGCAACTTTGACTGAAATAACCACTCGTTACAACCGAGGTATGCAGCAAAGCATTTGTGAAGCCACAACACGCACAACCTTGAGGCGGATGGGCTACAACAGCAGAAGACTCCACCGGGTACCACTCATCTCCACTACAAATAGAAAAAAAGAGGCTACAATTTGCAAGAGCTCACCAAAATTGGACAGTTGAAGACTGGAAATATGTTGCCTGGTCTGATGAGTCTCGATTTCTGTTGAGACATTCAGATGGTAGAGTCAGAATTTGGCGTAAACAGAATGAGAACATGGATCCATCATGCCTTGTTACCACTGTGCAGGCTGGTGGTGGTGGTGTAATGGTGTGGGGGATGTTTTCTTGGCACACTTTAGGCCCCTTAGTGCCAATTGGGCATCGTTTAAATGCCACGGCCTACCTGAGCATTGTTTCTGACCATGTCCATCCCTTTATGGCCACCATGTACCCATCCTCTGATGGCTACTTCCAGCAGGATAATGCACCATGTCACAAAGCTCGAATCATTTCAAATTGGTTTCTTGAACATGACAATGAGTTCACTGTACTAAAATGGCCCCCACAGTCACCAGATCTTAACCCAATAGAGCATCTTTGGGATGTGGTGGAACGGGAGCTTCGTGCCCTGGATGTGCATCCCACAAATCTCCATCAACTGCAAGATGCTATCCTATCAATATGGGCCAACATTTCTAAAGAATGCTTTCAGCACCTTGTTGAATCAATGCCACGTAGAATTAAGGCAGTTCTGAAGGCGAAAGGGGGTCAACCATAGTATGAGGATGGTGTTCCTAATAATCCTTTAGGTGAGTGTATATATATATATTTTAAAAAACTTACTGACCACAAACTTTTGACTGGTATATATAAAGGATTGCATTGGGATTTGCATAGTCTTGTTCCATCATATCATGATAGGCGGTAAAAATAATTGTGCTTAGAGCTAAAAATAAGTGTGTCCCAGGTTTGAGCAGGTGTTAGTGAGTATGATTGTATAACTGAGCTGGTGTGCTGTTTTCAGGTGCTGTGGTTCTGCAGATCAGCTGTTTCTCAGAGGCAGAGAGGATTTACATGCTGGCCAAAGACATCAGCATCAGCGGCAAACAGCTCTACTCGCTTGTCATACCTGAGATCATGGTACAACATCTTTTTACAAAGCCATAAATCTAATAGTGACACTCAGTAGGTGCAACAGACTCATTTTTGTGAATATGAAACGTGTTCTTATGCTCTTTCTTTAAAACAAATGCCACATGGTTTGATATTTTATTGTATAATGCAGTGTGATTTATACATGGACATTGCAAGTGAGGCTCAAAGGGATAGTTCACTCAATAATGAAACTTCTGTCATTATTTACATACCACCATGTCATTCCAAACTTCTATGACTTATTTCTTGACTTATGACACAAATGTTTTGGGGGGAAAAAAACGCTAACATTTGCGAGAGAATGCAAAAGCATTGGAAATATACATTTTCTTGCATCTCATATATTTTCCATCACCATGTCATAGTAGGCTTGAAATGACATGAGGGTGAGTATATGACAGATTTTGTATTTTGTGTCCAAATATCAGATATATGGAACCCACAGCTGATTCAAAATAATCACCTGTTTTGACTTCATTGTGATCAGTTGGTCACATGCTGTTCATTAAAGTTCATAATGCTGGCCCAAGCTTTAGATGCATCTGCCCTCTAGTGGCCCAGTGAGAAACTACAGTACAATTCAACAACAAGTGTAACAAAATGTTCTTTTCTCTCCCAACAGCAAAGCAAGCTGGCCAAAGGAAGCTGCCCCCTGCTGGTCTTTGTCAACCCTAAAAGTGGTGGGCTAAAGGGCAGAGAGATCTTATACAGTTTCCGGAAACTTCTAAACCCTCACCAAGTGTTTGAGCTGACCAGCGGAGGACCACTTCCTGGGTTAGACCTCCTCTCCTTTTGAATGATGGTCAAACTGATATCAATGTCTTGATACTAGGAATATGTATGGATGAATGCTGTAGGTTCCCTGCTCACTTGTATGTGTTTTGTACAGGCTGCACGCGTTCAGGGACGTCCCTCACTTCCGTATCCTGGTGTGTGGAGGAGACGGCACAGTGGGATGGGTGCTGGGGGTTCTGGAGTCCATCCGACATAAGATTGTCTGTCCTGAGCCAGCGATCAGCATCATACCGCTGGGCACAGGTGCGTGATGGAGGAAAAAAGTGTATCATTTAATTCTAGTTTACTGTAGGTTTAACTATTTGCAACCATTGTGGTTTGTGTTCAGGGAACGATCTGGCTCGGGTGTTGCGATGGGGGGCGGGATACAGCGGCGAGGACCCCTTCAACATCCTGGTGTCTGTGGACGAGGCAGAGCTAGTGCAAATGGACCGCTGGACAATTCTTCTGGACGCGCAGCATATGGCAGAGGACGGCAAAGAGAACGGCGTCCTAGAGCCGCCCAAGGTACGCAATCAAACCCTGAGACTTCAAATTACAATAAATATGATTTCTGCATAAATGCACCTATAGTACGTTTTTATTGTTATTTAAAAAAATAAAATATATATATTTTTTTAACATGTTTTTTTTTATATAATTAATGCAATTATTATAATATGTAGCTACATTAATTTTAAATAATTTCATATTATAAATCATATAATCATATTTTTTATTTTAATAATAAAATCTATAATACAAATATTATTTTAATTAATGATATTTTATCATTTATTATGGTTTAAAATAAAGTATATTTTTAAATTTAACATTTAACATAATTGAACAATTATTCATATAATGAATGTAATTGTAATATGTACATATACACTCACCTAAAGGATTATTAGGAACACCTGTTTAATTTCTCATTAATGCAATTATCTAATCAACCAATCACATGGCAGTTGCTTCAATGCATTTAGGGGTGTGGTCCTGGTCAAGACAATCTCCTGAACTCCAAACTGAATGTCAGAATGGGAAAGAAAGGTGATTTAAGCAATTTTGAGCGTGGCATGGTTGTTGGTGCCAGACGGGCCGGTCTGAGTATTTCACAATCTGCTCAGTTACTGGGATTTTCACGCACAAGCATTTCTAGGGTTTACAAAGAATGGTGTGAAAAGGGAAAAACATCCAGTATGCGGCAGTCCTGTGGGCGAAAATGCCTTGTTGATGCTAGAGGTCAGAGGAGAATGGGCCGACTGATTCAAGCTGATAGAAGAGCAACTTTGACTGAAATAACCACTCGTTACAACCAAAGTATGCAGCAAAGCATTTGTGAAGCCACAACACGCACAACCTTGAGGCGGATGGGCTACAACAGCAGAAGACCCCACCGGGTACCACTCATCTCCACTACAACTAGAAAAAAGAGGCTACAATTTGCAAGAGCTCACCAAAATTGGACAGTTGAAGACTGGAAAAATGTTGCCTGGTCTGATGAGTCTTGATTTCTGTTGAGACATTCAGATGGTAGAGTCAGAATTTGGCGTAAACAGAATGAGAACATGGATTCATCATGCCTTGTTACCACTGTGCAGGCTGGTGGTGGTGGTGTAATGGTGTGGGGGATGTTTTCTTGGCACACTTTAGGCCCCTTAGTGCCTTTTGGGCATCGTTTAAATGCCACGGCCTACCTGAGCATTGTTTCTGACCATGTCCATCCCTTTATGGCCACCATGTACCCATCCTCTGATGGCTACTTCCAGCAGGATAATGCACCATGTCACAAAGCTCGAATCATTTCAAATTGGTTTCTTGAACATGACAATGAGTTCACTGTACCAAAATGGCCCCCACAGTCACCAGATCTCAACCCAATAGAGCATCTTTGGGATGTGGTGGAGCGGGAGCTTCGTGCCCTGGATGTGCATCCCACAAATCTCCATCAACTGCAAGATGCTATCCTATCAATATGGGCCAACATTTCTAAAGAATGCTTTCAGCACCTTGTTGAATCAATGCCACGTAGATTTAAGGCAGTTCTGAAGGCGAAAGGGGGTCAAACACAGTATAAGTATGGTGTTCCTAATAATCCTTTAGGTGAGTGTATATGTACATTAATTTATATTATATATATGTATATATATAATTACATAATAATGAAGTATAATTAATGCATATAATAATAACAATAAAATGAATTATTACAATAACAATACTATAATAAATAATTATACTATTTATTCATTCAACTTTAATTTTTAATAATTTAACTATTCATTTTTTATGCTTCTAGCTCCGCTAAGGAATTAGTCACTGCACACATTTTGTAAGTTACTAGCGTAAAGCAGTCAAACATACATAACAGGGTTGTACCTGTCTGTGTTATAGATTGTGCAGATGAATAATTATTTTGGGCTGGGAATTGATGCTGAACTGAGTCTGGACTTTCATCACGCACGTGAGGAGTATCCAGACAAGTTTAATAGCAGGAAAGTATTGTTCTTTACTCTAAAGGTTGGCCATGTTGCTCAGAGTTAAGGTGAGGGAGGTCTGTGTGCATTGCTATTTTGACTTTGTCATTGTTCTTGCAGGTTCCACAATAAAGGTATGTACGTGAAGGTGGGCCTGCAGAAGTTGAGTCACACACGAAACCTTCATAAAGACATCAGACTGCAAGTGGACAGACATGATGTGGAACTGCCCAGTATAGAAGGATTAATATTCCTCAACATTCCCAGGTAAACACACGTCAGTCTCACACAATGAAAGTAAAGACAATTCCACACACGGGAGTTTGTTATAGAAGATTAAAGCTGCTGTGTGTGTGTGTGTAGCTGGGGTTCTGGTGCTGACCTGTGGGGCTCAGACAATGACTCTCGGTTTAGGCGGCCCAGGATAGATGATGGGATGCTGGAGGTTGTGGGAGTGACTGGTGTGGTGCACATGGTGAGTTCCTCTTTCTAAGAAAATGTTCTCCTTTAAGTACATACACTACTGTTCAAAAGTATTGGGCCGGCAAGATTGGTCCCTTATGCTCACCAAAGTTGCATTTATTTGATTAAAAAATACAGTAAAAACAGAAATATTGTAAAATATTATTACATTGAAAAATAACTAATTTCATATATTTTAAAATGTAATTGATTCCTGTGATGGAAAAGCTGAATTTTCAGCATCAGTCTTCAGTGTCACATGATCCTTTAGCAGTCATTCTAAATGTTGATTTGGTTATTATCATCAATGTTGAAAACAGTTGCTGCTTAACATTTTTGTGGAAACCGTGATACTTTTTTCAGTTCAAAAGCATTTATTTAAAGGTGCATTGCGCAACATTTCATGTTAAAAATACCCGTTTTTCTAACCCATACATGCTTAAACCATTGCCTGATGGGCTGAATGAGCCCTTCTCTGATCCCTGCGATTGCCTCTATAATCCTGTACAGTAAAATAAATAAGAGGGATTCGGGACGGAATTTGAGACTGGGCGTGACGTCGCCGCCATTCTCCGTATCAGCGAAGACAACTCGAGCGACAAAACTTTAGTCAACTTTCGACAAAAGTAGAAGATGGATTCTAAGAGACCGGCTTGTAGTTCATTCCAAACCCCAACGCAAACTCCAAAAGAAAACGTTTGTCTAGTGCCACCAAAAGGGCCAAATTGGAGTCAGACAGGCGTCGGAATAAGACGAGAGTCAACATCGGGAAGGCTTTCAACAAATGGAGAGATCTCCGGTCTGCTCTAGGATTCAAACGGGATCCTCAGTTGGCTTTTACAAAATAATAACTTATATTGTTCATGAACGTGTTTCCATAATAATACAATCATAAGTGGATACAGTAAACACATAAAACAGTTCAACATGGAGATAGATGGAAACAAAAACCAAAGTTTTCTACTACCCCTGTTTTGCCCTCACACATGTGTGTAATTTACTCAAATGCCTTTTCTTTCATATATTTAAAATGACTTGCAGATTTCTAACTTTATTACCTCTGAAGACATTATGACTGTAAACAAAAGATTTGTGCGGCTGATGCTCCTTTGGTTATGAACAGCTCGTGCTCGCTAGTGCAAGCGTGCATATGCGTGTGGTCCATGAGCGTGCACACCTCTGGTTGCAGTTTCGCTTGTCGCCAGAGGGGGCGTAGTTCTGCAAAAACTCAGAGACTTGCGCAATGCACCTTTAAAATAGAAATCTTTTGTAACATTATACATGTCTTTAACATCACTTTTAATCAATTTAATGCATCCTTGCTGAATAAAATTATAAATGTCTTTAAAAGAAAAACCTTACTGGCCCCAGACTTTTGATTGGTAGTGTTTGCCAAATTGTCTGTTTTATAATTTTTTTTTACTGTATATTGTTTATTAAACATAATTTGATAATTTTTCTCTAAATATAGTATATATTTGTTTTATGTTCCAATCTATTTTACTTTGTTTAATACATTTTTTTAATTGCTTTTTTTTTTCAGGGTCAGGTTCAGAGTGGGCTGCGCTCTGGGATTCGTATCGCTCAGGGGAGCTATATTCGCATCACTGTGACCAAACCCATTCCAGTGCAGGTGGACGGAGAACCCTGGATACAATCACCTGGACAGATCATCATCTCAGCCGCAGGACCAAAGGTACTTCTACATTTATTTTAACACAGTCATATTCCCTAAATTACTTGCCCAACTCCATGAACTCCAGATCTGCTGTGTAAAGACGACACAACATTAATGACGTGGGATTCCCAGATGTGAATTTAAAAGATGTGACTTTTTTTCGGCCTTTTATGTTAGATGATTTGACAGCACTAATATATATATATATAAATGATGTTGTCACTGAATACTCATGAAAGGTCACTAAGTAAGCCTTGATCTCATTAATATTCAATATAAGAGGTAGGCCCCTTCAAAAAGTATGATTCGTAATTTCCTTCCTGGCCTCTATTTGTCTTGCACAATTAATTTAACGAGTGCAAAAATGTTTGCGCATGGGTGGAAGAATGCAGACACTCCAGAACCGTTAATGGAACCAAAGGTCATTCCGTTCAAGTATTTCATTTTCTCACCATCTGTTAGCCTTCAGTTCTAATATCAAGTTCTGTGCATTTAAAACGGCTTTGTTTTCTGTTCTAGGTGTGCATGCTACGAAAGTCCAAAACCAAGCAGAAGAAACAAACGGGCAGTTTGAAGGAAGGCCGTTCCGACAGTCCAGCTCCCAGTGATGGTGGGCAGTGACAAACCTCACAAACACTTCATTGACAGCCCTTTACTGTTGCCTTGACAACTTTTCTTTGAGTCTTTGCTCTGTTCTTTGTTTCACTTTGAGTGGGTATCAACATTGACTTTAGCTGAACTAGAATGTATGACTCAGACAGACATCTCTAACATCTCATAGTCTGTTGTGTTCAAACGCCCCATCAGATGATAGCACTGCAGTCTGTTTCTCAGGACTTTAGCTGCCCTCGGCCTGTTTTTGCCTTAGATTCATGCTGGTGTAGATCATTGTGTCGCTTTTATTTCGATTGCCAATCTGCATCTTCTTTTAAGAGGCAATATTGTCTTAAAGTAGTCCATCACTGAAATGCTATGGCACATATGAGTAAGCAACCAGTATTTAATCCCATTGTGCACATCACAAATGCCAAAAACTACCGTTTCGTGAACACCGCCAAGTTAAGACTATCACTTAATACTCGCATCTTGCCTTTTTGGTTTATGGTAAAAACTGACTTTCATCTGGCCATTTTCATCTTTATGCTGATTATCATTAATGTCTTACTTGAAGTTAATTTGCAAAAGCAGCCCCTTGTAGCTTTCTACAAGTATCTAAACCAAAACAATGCAGTATATATGTACAAACAACTCTAGTTCTTGTTCAATAAGAGCACATTTGAATGTGTAAGTGTGGAGAGATAATCGTCTTTGTATTCAATTTTGTAGCTTTCTTAGCTGTGAGACTGTAGGCACAATCATGCCTCAGCAGAACGCGAGTAAACAAGCTGGTGTCATCACAGCCGTTTTGTTATAAAAAGCTTTTCGAACAGGAGCGGTACCGAAAAATACTGTGACTAAAGAGTCGTGGATTTTACAAAGGATGAATGTTTGTGGACATATGCACCACTTTTGGTGTTAAAGGTACAATATGTAGGATTTTTGCAGTAAAATATCCAAAAACCACTAGGCCAATGTTATATATTTTGTTTAGTTGATTACTTACAATATCCCAAATGTTTCAAACTATTTGTAAATCGTGAGAAAATTGCGATTTTAACCAAGGAAACGGGGCGTGTGAGCAGGGGTGAGGAGTCGCCAGTCAATGACGTCATATCCGCGTTACCCTCGGTTTCCGCCAGGTTTGACCAAGGGGGTAATCCACCAGCCGGAAACTGAAGTCTCCCCGGGCGCCGCCATTGGCTAACAAGCCTTCTCCTGCTGTTAGCATTCCATTGACTCCCATTCATTTTTGCGTCACTTTGACAGCGAATAACTTTACATCTGAGGCGTTTAAAGACTCCATTTGTCCATTATTTATTTCTAAAGAAACACGACAATGTATAAAATGCTCCATTACCTTGTATCTTATGTTGTGACCCCGTAGAAGCAGTTTTTGTAAAAATAGGCTAACGATTGCGTCATAACACGCGACTCTCTGTCGCATAGAAGAGAAATGACCGTAAAGACAGATGTAGAAGCTCACTCGCAATCGGGGGGACGTGGAGGCATAAAGTCAAGGGAGAAGCCCATAGAGAGTTGTAAAGTTGCTCCTGCTGCGAGCTCATGGACAGCTAATACTCACCATCTCCGGCTCTGCAAGATTCAGAAGGGAATGATTCAGATTCCTCTTGGCGCCGCTACTAGAAGACGTACAACTGTCAGTCAGGTTGCTCACGTCACAACTACGCCTTCAAGCTCAGTTTGAGCATGCGCAGTGCGCTTGGCAATCAGGAAGTGAGTGCTTCTATTTGACTTCACTTTTCTCCGGTGAAGTCAATGGGGTCGCTGTGTCCATTTCTTTTACTGTCTATGGGTTTGACCAGAGCCATAGAGAGAAAGAGTTGCGACACGCTTTGATGTCGCCGCGACGGCTGTCACGTGGTTCATGTAAGCCCCAATAGTTCCACAACATACGCGGGCTGTCATGTTCTTCTATGGACAGACAGCAGCGATTGCATTATTAAACGGTAAATATAAAATAAAACACACACCCAAGTACTTTTTCAGCTGTTATTGCATTTAGTTAATGTCAGTTTTGCATTTGGAGAGGCAGGGTGACAACTTAGATAAGTTTATAGGCTATATTTTTGGAGGGAAACGCTAGTGTTCATGTTCGCATGGGTAGTACCACTGGCTTTAGCGGCTCTAACTTAACTTTTCCATGTCATTCATTTGATGATGGACGTCTCATGATATTTATTTTAGCACAACTGGGCTGTATTAGGCTATTGATTCCCGTGATCTTGCTTATACATTCCGCTTCGTGATCACGCAAAGAGGTCTGCGGTCCGTTCACAATTCCAACCAACATAAAATATAAATAATTACGCTGTGCATGTACAAATGAATAATTTAGGAGGGAAATAGACTGCTCCCATAACGTAGAAAGCACTATATACAGCACTATATACAGACTATATACAGCAATGTTCGGTAAATATTCAACCGAAAAATATTCTTCATAAAATGAAACCGGAGAAATAGTTAATGAGTGAATTAACTATGTTCCTAAATACATATAAGCACATAAATGCATAACCCTAACCCATTTAAATAAATGAATTGTGTGTGTGTATGTATATATAATGTTATATATAGGCTATATATATATACATACATATAAAATGTTATTAAAAATATTATATATTATATACATCAGTTACCGTAAGTTAGCTAACGTTAGTGAAGTGTTGGTCACGTAAGCTATAGCTGCAATTAACCTATTATCTTCCAATAAACATTTACTAAAACTGGCTAAATAAAATATAACTACAGACTAGATTCACGAGAGGTCGGCTAATGTGTGTAAAAGTAACAAAATACAGTAATTTCATTAATTTACCAGCGAACACTTCTGAAGCACTGAAAATGAATGGGGTTCAATGGAGAAACTATCAGTGTTTGGAACTATTGGCCGCTCCACGACACGCGTTACTTCCGCATTCCAAAGTTCCTATGGCGGTCTATGGGAGTGTCGCAACTCTTTCTCTCTATGGCTCTGGGTTTGACCTCTTACTGCCATAGTAACCATGGCGACAGATGTTGACAACTGGGTTATGCCGGTTATGCCTAGCAGGACGCTCACGCTGTTGTTGTTTTGTTCATACATTATGGAGCATGACAAGCAGACTTTGAGGCAAAAAGAGGACTAAAACGAAGATCAACATCTTTCGAGATGCCGAGAGCTCCACGTCCGCGACTAACTTCGACTTGACAGAGACGCGAGTGTTGCATGCACTTTATTAGAACGGTGAGCAAATGTACATAAAACTAATCAATGTTATTTAGTTCAACATGATGAAACGTTAGAATATGATCTGTATGTTATTCTAATGTTGATCTAGCTTACTTAGTCTCATACAGCCAACACACAACCTAACTAACAACATCCAACACACTCAAATGCCATTTAGTGTGATAGTGTAACTGTTAGAGCAAGTGAAACAGCGCTGTGTTACCTAAGTTTCATTCGTCTAATAAACTGACTTGTGTGAGTATTAATTCAGCACTTGCGTGTAGTTCGGGTAGAATGAAATGTCCTTATTCTTCTATATCCGCAGGACTCGCGTTGCGTGTGGCACTGGTATAAGTTACGTCTAGCAATCGCCGCCCTGCTTCATACCACAGTCATGTTAAAAACATCACTGTATTCACTCATCCATAAAAGATCCATCAGCTTGACGACAAGATCCATAATTCCGCTTAATGTGGAATATACGTCATCAATATACGCCTTTGTTATTGTAAGAGGTTAGCGACCCCTGGTGGGGAAAAATCCTGCATATTGTACCTTTAATAGTAATATAACGCTGTACGATACTTGATAAAACATTCCGCGCAAGATCACGTAGCAAGTTCTGTATTTATAGTTGAACTGGTCATATGAACCTTTAAGCCAAGCGTAGCTTCATCATGTTCTGGTGAAAGCATTGATTTGTAAGTAAATAAATATGTTACTGTTATCTGACAGAGTAGACAGTCGTGTAAAGCTAAAGCTAGAGGCGAGCGCAGTGCTGTAATATATATTTGCTAGTAAATGGCGTGTATATGTTGTTTCTGTACAGTGACTGGTCAGCCCTGCTCCAGCTGTATGGATTCATGAGGCTGGCCTTAGATTTTGTATGTATGATCAGTTAGACGCTCCACTTCCCATCAGGCATGCATTAAAGCCTCGGCCACCTAAGGGGATTGTCTGACCTCATCTACCTCACCGGCACACATCACTCCGAGAATCAAGTTCGGCCAAGCTCTTCCAAAGACTTGCGCCTGCTTTTCTTCCTGCACTTCATGGATCATGTCTGGGAATATTCGGAATGATGACAGATATGAAAAGCTGACCAAGTGCATTCAATTATATATATAGATATATATAGTATAACCAATGATTTAGGTCTCATTGTCATTTTTCTTCAGATGCAATCTGATCTCGCTGATTCGCCCTCTCTTGTGTCGTTGATTTGCCTGCAGTGTGTACAGTGGTGATTTCTGCATTAGTTGTGCCTCTTGCCATGACAAGCCCTCGGGTTAACGTGCTGTTCTGTGGTGTGGTTTGGCCCGTATAGTGCCTCATAAAAGTGCTTCGAGAACTTCTGCAGTATTGCCGAACGTGTGCGTTCAACTCCATGCCGTTCTGTTTCTGTTTGTTCTGCTGATTCAGTGACTATGAAGTAGAACCGTGCTGTTCTGGGTCCTTTAGAGCTGATGTGCCTCCTAATAGAGTAAATCTCACGAAAATCAGTCTCATTTTACTCCTAAAATCAAAAGAAAAAATATATTACATTCAGTTCCGTCAAAAAATGGATTAATCGCATCTTACATAAATGTTTTTGTTTACATATGTGTGTGTATATATATTATTATATTTACATGTATTATATATATATATATATATATATGTGTGTGTGTGTGTGTGTGTGTGTGTGTGTGTGTGTGTGTGTGTGTGTGTGTGTGTCTGTGTATATACAATACATATACAGAAATATTTATAAGTATAAATATATATGTGTGTGTAGTGTATACAGTATATACACACAGAGACATATATATATATATATACACACATATTATGTAATCAAAAACTTTTATGTTAGATGTGGTTAATCAATTTGACAGCACTAATTATAAATTTTGGACCAACATATTTTTACCCCAATTCTCTCTTTTTTTTTTTTTTTTTTTAATTCCCACCGATTATTGTTGTTAGATTCTCATTAGTGTACTGTAGATAGTGCAGTGCATTGTTGTTTTTATTTATGATTTTTAAAAACTTACATTTAGTACAACAGTACAACAATGACTACAATTCGGTGTAAATACTTGACCGTGTGATGAAAATAAGATCAAAATATCTTTAAGTATTTATTTTGATTTTGGGATGAAATATGACCCGGACATGTTCATGACTAGTTTCCGTGAGATATGCCCAATAATAGCTTTGTTCAAAACTGTTTAAAGTTATTTTACCTCCTTGCTATGGTTTTAGGTTTTATTCTTACTACTTGTAAAGTGGGTTAGAATTAATGTTCTGAGATCTATATAGATGTATATTTTTGAAGAGAATATGTTTTTAATTTGGTCTGTAAAGATATTGCACTGATTGTATGGTTTTAAAGATGTTTTTAAGTGTACATTGTGTTAAATGAATATTAAATAACTAAATGTATAGATATATCAATCAGCTGTATAACAGATGGATGTGTCCAATGAGAAAAAAAGACATAAATTTGGACTTTTTAATACAGTTCTGTTCTGTTTTTATTTTGCATGATATTAGAAGTTCCTATTGTACAAAGTAACAAACTTGTTCATTCAGTTAGCACCAAATGGACCAAAAATTAATCTTTTCTACAAAACATGATTAGTAGGTCAGTACAGTTTATTTACAGCAGTATACAATGGTTAGACTTGTACATTTTGAGAATAATCAGCTTATACAAATCAAATTACTTTACACCTAATGATTTCAAGTTTCCTCAGTACAAATGATTTTAAAAATAGTATAAAGTAGTTTTTTCTCAAATAAATAGCTTAAATGAGAGTATCATCTGGAATGGGAAGTGCACAGAATGAAACGGACATTAGCCCAGGCTAATATTCCCACAAAACATTGTGATGAGAAGAATCAAGGTAAATCCTGTCAGTATTCCAGCATTCTGGATTGCGAAAAAAACGATATCGTCCTTCGTGCTCCGCACTTGTTCACTGGCAATCATGTTCATTTCAGGCAACTAGGTGAGAGGGAGAAAGAGGATTCAGTATTTGCGCCGCTAAAACAGATTTATGTTCCGTTTAGTGATCGGAAGTGGAGCCAAAGTCATTTTGTTCCCTCAAAAAGATTTTACCCCATAATAAATGAATACTTCTAGGTTTAAAATCATCTAAGCTCACATACGATGAAGTCATTTGACTAGCCTAATAAAAGCTGTTTTATTTTACTTGGAGCGGGTCACATCATGGGGGTGGCCATTTTGGAGACATGGCCAATCTGACACGGCACACTTTTATCTTTTTAACACCACTATTATCGGTCACTGAATGTATTATCTGTGGCACACTATGAACAGTGCGTTTCTCTTATGCATCTGTAAACCAAAAACTACTTTCAATGCTGCCTCCACACCTCTAGGTGTCAGTATAAGTCCAAAAATTATTTGTAAAATAGTAACATATTGTTGCTTATTTAACTCAAAACATGCACCAAAATCTATTTGCTAAGTAAAAATGTTAGCATTGAAATACTCTACTGGTCAAAAGTTTAAGACAGACTTTTTTTAAATGTTTTTTTTTTTTTTTTTTTTTTTTTTGAAGTCTCTTATGCTCTCCAAGGCAGCACTTATTTGATCAGAACTACAGTATAAACTGTAAGATTATAAAATATTATTGGCATAGCTGAATTTTCAGCATCATTACTCCAGTCTTTAGTCTCACATGATCCTTCAGAAATCATTCTAATATGCTGATTTGATGCTCAAGAAACATGTCATATTATTATCAATGTTGAAAACAATTGTGCTGCTTAGTAATTTTGTTTAAAGTTACAATTTTCTATTTTATAAACAGAATTTCAAAGAAATAGCATTTGTTTTACTGTCAAAAAAATTCTTAGAATTTTTGTTTTGTTTTCCAGTACACATATCTAAAAAAATAAATAAATCAAAATCATTTACTTTACTATTAAGTCTTGTTTTCTGACCAAAATTAAGTGAGTTTTGCTTAAAACAAGAAATGATATCTGCCAATGAGGGAAAAAAAGGAAAAAGTTTTTCCTTTTTTTTTTCCAAGCAAAAACTCTTCATTTTGATTTTTCTTTTTTTTTCTGCAGAAAACAAGACTTGTCTTTTCTGTGGCTTGATTTAATAAAAAGTATTTTCTTAAAAATAAAAAAAATTCATACTGACCCCAAACTTTTGAACAGTAGTGTATGTTTTTTAATGCGCCAAGAAGACAATCCAAAAATGAAATGTGGTGAAATATTATGCACTGTATTTACTAACCCACACTGCTCTTACCATATCAGCCAAGGATATGTAAAGGAACATGCCACCAGCGAAGGCAAAGATGATGTTGGGGGCAAAAGCGTTTCCCAACAAGATTCCCAGGACCAGGCCCACGTAGCAGGACATCGCAGACAGCAGGTTGAAGAACACGGCCTGTGGAATGCTCAACCCTGCGTTCAGCAGGATAATGAAGTCGCCTACAGGGGGAGACAGAGCGCAAATGTGCCTCGCATGTTTTTCCCATAAACCTTTAGCGAAGGTCAACGTTCAAAGGGCAGTAGTTGACAACTGAATCAGAGCACTCACAACTGAAAGTTTTTCCAGGTGGAAAAATTGTTGTTGAATCCCTGTATTACTCTTACCCAGCTCGTGAGGGAATTCCTCACAGACGATAGCGATAGAGGTGCTAAAGCCATTGAGAACAGACACCGTGAACGAGGCGCCGATGGCCAGTCCGTCAATGAAGTTGTGTAGAGCATCGCTCAGGGAAATCATCCATGCCACCGTCTTCACGCTGGACAGCCGTCTTCCTCTGAGCCATCTGCAAGACCCCTGCAAACACATTCACATCTGAATTAAAACCTCATTCTCTTCTCTAACAACATTACTGTACCCTCTTGAGCTTGGGTTCATATTTCAAATACTATTTACTTTTAGCCCCGAGGTCTAACTTTTTGTATTGTTACAGGGTCGAGATGACGATCCCAATTACATGGTGCTCGTGATTTAGGGTCAAAGGTCAGAAGACAATCTTGTTTCTGCTGGCAGCTGTGACAGATGAAAGTAAACACAGCTGTGTGTGTCTCTACGGCTGGACTGTAAGTTGCACTGACCTGTACACTATGTACTACTTAATTTTGTACCAAAAAACTGCATTTTAAAACTCAAAACCCTCGAAAAAAAGGGTTGAACCCTTGCAGGGTTGAGGATTTTTTTTTTTTGTGTGTGTGTGTTACATGTTACATACATGATTGAAAGCATTCAAAGAACTGTACTGGATCCCGCTGAAGGACAACTGTTATCACATGACCCAGGAATCTGGTTTAACCATTGACTACAGTCTGATGTTACACTTAAAGGGATAGTTCACTCAAAAATTAAAATTAGCCCATGATTTACTCACCCTCAAGTCATCCTAGGTGTATATGACATTCTTCTTTCGGACGAATATAATCGGAGTTATATTAAAAAAATGTCCTGGCTCTTCCAAGCTTTATGATGGCTGTGTCTGTTTTAAAGTCCATAAAAGTGCATCCATCCATCATAAAAGAACTCAACACGGCTCCGGGGGTTAACAAAGGCCTTCTGAAGCAAAGCGATGAGTTTGTGTAAGAAAAATATCCATATTTAAAACTTTATAAAGTAAAATAACTAACTTCCGGCAAAACGAACATACGGATTCCACTAGTCTAAACGCAACTTATGCGAGTAATGTGACGTACTGCTGATATTTACGCTAGCCATGACGCACTACGCTACTTCCGACGTCACAAGTTGCGCTTTAGCCGCAAGTAGACTGCGTATGGCCGGAAGCTAGAATTTTATTTTGTAACATGTTAAATATGATTATTTTTCTTACACAAACGCATCACTTCCCTTTAGAAGTCCTTTATTAACCCCCGGAGCCGTGTGGAGCACTTTTATAATGGATGGATGCACTTTTATGGACTTCAAAACAGAAACACCCATCCACTGCCATTATAAAGCTTGGAAGAGCCAGGACATTTTTTAATATAACTCCGATTGTATTCGTTTGAAAGAAAAAGTCCTATACACTTAGGATGACTTGAGGGTGAGATTTGATTTGGGTGAGCTATCCCTTTAATAATGTAATAGCCTGGTTGTTATGACAAATAATTAGCATTTATCTTTATTTGATAATTGCAGACACCTTCATGTAATCATAAATTGGTTACCGCTGCGATAATCAAACAGTCTTTTTTGTAGATGAAATGTACAGTAATTAGAGGTGTTTGTTTGCTAAGCCAATCAGTATTTAACTTTAAGGCATAAGTAACTTGTCCTGCACTGTTTGTGCTGCAGACATGAATGTTACCTCAAATCATACGGCTTGTTGAGGAGACTGTTGCACAAAAGTGGGCACAAAACCCTACAGACTTACACTGAAGGAGGTTCCTGAGCCATTTATACAGCAGTTGGGCTCTATTAGAGTATGCAACGAATAGCAATGTGCTAACAACTACTCTGAACACCTTAGCAACTGCAAAGATACACATTGGCATCCTGTTTTTGCATGGACAAGCATCACAGAAAATTCACTAGTTTTAGTTTCCTTTCACATAGGAATGGCTGACCTATTTATATCATATTTATGATATTTTATATTTCTGTCATACACTACCATTCAAAAGCTTGGGGTTGGTATGATTTTTTTAAATGTTTTTTAAAGAAGTCTCTTATGCTCTCCATGGCTGCATTTATTTGATCAAAAATAAAAACAGTAATTGTCACGACACACGGGACAGAAGATCCAATTGCAGCAGTTTATTAATATAAGGGTAATCCCAATCGTAGTCTTCCAGGCAGGGGTCAAAATCCAAATAATCAAACCAAACATGAAAACAAAACACAAACCAACAAGAAAACCGACCAAGGAAGTGGTGACATCTAACAGACAGAATGCTGGGAAATGAAGTCAATAGTGAAGGACACCGTGATAACAAGGACCTCTAGTGACGAACAAGGGAACACAACCAGACACTGTGACATAACCCCCCCCTCTACGGAGCGGCTACCAGACGCTCCACGACAACACTAAAACACGACACAAGAGTTCAGGAGGGAGGTGGAACGGTGGAGGATCAGGGGGAGGGATGGTGGGCCAGGTCCATGAAGGGAGACAGGAACAAGGGGTGAGGGCTTAACCGGGGACCAGGGCAAAACAGAGAGTCTATCGGGCATCCAGGGCGAAACACAGAGTCCCTCGGGCGGCCAGGGCGGTGAAGACCCCTCGGGCGGCCAGGGCGGAGCAGACCCCTCGGGCGGCCAGGGCGGTGATGCCCTCTCGGGACCAGACACCGGCTCGGGACCAGACACCGGCTCGGGACCAGACACCGGCTTGGGACCAGACACCGGCTCAGTATCAGACACCGGCGACACCGGCTCAGGATCAGACACCGGCTCAGGATCAGACACCAGCGACACCGGCTCAGGATCAGACACCGGCGACACCGGCTCAGGATCAGACACCGGCTCAGGATCAGACACCGGCTCAGGATCAGACACCGGCGACACCGGCTCAGGATCAGACACCAGCGACACCGGCTCAGGATCAGACACCGGCTCAGGATCAGACACCGGCGACACCGGCTCAGGATCAGACACCGGCTCAGGATCAGACACTGGCGACACCGGCTCAGGATCAGACACCGGCGACACCGGCTCGGGATCAGACACCGGCTCAGGATCAGACACCGGCTCAGGATCAGACACCGGCTCAGGATCAGACACTGGCGACACCGGCTCAGGATCAGACACCGGCGACACCGGCTCAGGATCAGACACCGGCTCAGGATCAGACACCGGCTCAGGATCAGACACCGGCTCAGGATCAGACACCGGCTCAGGATCAGACACCAGCTCAGGATCAGATACCGGCTCTGGAACAGACACCGGCTCTGGAACAGACACCGGCTCTGGAACAGACACCGGCTCAGGATCAGACACCGGCTCAGGAACAGACACCGGCTCAGGAACAGACAGGCTCAGGAACAGACACTGGCTCTGCCTCCGGCTCTGGAACAGGCACTGGCTCTGGAAAAGCGGACACAGGCATGTCCAGGTTCCGAGCCGCTCCAGATAGTCCAGGTCCATGAAGGCAGACGGGACGTGAACAGTCTCTGGCTGGGCAGACGGGACGTGAACAGTCTCTGGCTGGGCAGACGGGAAGTGAACAGTCTCTGGCTGGGCAGACGGGACGTGAACAGTCTCTGGCTGGGCAGACGGGAAGTGAACAGTCTCTGGCTGGGCAGACGGGAAGTGAACAGTCTCTGGCTGGGCAGACGGGACGTGAACAGTCTCTGGCTGGGCAGACGGGACGTGAACAGTCTCTGGCTGGGCAGACGGGAAGTGAACAGTCTCTGGCTGGGCAGACGGGAAGTGAACAGTCTCTGGCTGGGCAGACGGGACGTGAACAGTCTCTGGCTGGGCAGACGGGACGTGAACCGTCTCTGGCTGGGCAGACGGGACGTGAACCGTCTCTGGCTGGGCAGACGGGACGTGAACAATCTCTGACTGGGCAGACGTGACGTGAACAGTCTCTGACTGGGCAGACGGGACGTGAACAGTCTCTGACTGGGCAGACGGGACGTGAACAGTCTCTGACTGGGCCGACGGGCTGTGTCTCTTCCTTCTCCTTCTCCGGACCCCCGGAACCGGGATCATCTCCCGACTACATCCTCCTCTGTGACCTCCACGGGTCCCGCGAAACTTGACCAACCGGGTCCCCTTAAAAAATTCCCTTCTCTCCCGCTCGGTGGCTGGGGAAGAGATATTAAAAAACATACCGCTGGATCAGAGTTGACGGAGTCGTTCTGTCACGACACACACGGGACAGAAGATCCAATTGCAGCAGTTTATTAATATAAGGGTAATCCAAATCGTAGTCTTCCAGGCAGGGGTCAAAATCCAAATAATCAATCCAAACATGAAAACAAAACACAAACCAACAAGAAAACCGACCAAGGAAGTGGTGACATCTAACAGACAGAATGCTGGGAAATGAAGTCAATAGTGAAGGACACCGTGATAACGAGGACCTCTAGTGACGAACAAGGGAACACAACCAGACACTGTGACAGTAATATTGTGAAATATTACTACAATTTCAAAGAACAGGTTTCAATCTTAATATATTTTTTAAAAATTATTCATTTCTGCGATGGCAAAGCTGAGTTTCCAGCATCAGTCTTCATTGTCACATGATCCTTAAGAAATCAATAAAATAAGAAATCAGTGCTATTGAAACAGTTACATTTGATAATTTCTTTTCAAGCCATTTTATTTCGAATTCTTAGATGAATAAAAAAAAAGTTCAAAGAACAGATCATTTGTAACATTATGACTGTCTTTACAGTCACTTTTAATCAATTGAATGCATTCTCACTGAACAAAAGTATTATTTTTCTTTCAAAATAAAAAAGGTAACTTTATTTTGATGGTCACCTACAGACATTCTGCAGTGTTGAGTATAATTTATGTTGCACCTACCTGTCAACTAACTGTCAGTAGAGTATTAGTCGTCTGCTTAATATCTGATAACACTTTATATGCTCCACTAACAGACATTCTACTGACTATAAGTAACTTTGCAACTACATACTAACCATAATCCTACCCTTAATAGTCTACTAATACTTGACTAATACTCTAAGAGTTGACATGTTAGGTAAACAGAATGTCTTAAAGGGAGCATCAGAATAAAGTGTAACCAAAAATGTTTTACTGACCCCAAACTTTTGAATGGTAGTGTACATATTATATCCTTTTTATATTATAGCTATTATTTAGTTGACTCAGTAAGCAACCATCTAGAACACCCTAGTAACCACAAAGCAACGTCCTGGCATCCTGTTAGCGTGTTTTACAAGCGCCACTTGCAAAATATAAAAATGTAGTTTTGTTTTACTATAGTACATTCACATTTACTTCATTTCATGTGCGAATGAATCAGAATTGTCGTTTCCCCCCCCTCCAAACCATTAGCTGTTTTATAACGTTTATGCAACTTGCAGATATATTTAGGTAAATCGCATATCTCTTAGAACTGTTTGTGTTTTTTGTGAGATGTGACCAGTTGTACCTGTTCCACTGGGGGGTCAGTGGTTATGCTGGCTTTGTCGCCGCTGGCAAAGCTGAAATCAGAGTCGGCCGCAATGATGACGCCGTTCTGTTGGACACTCTCTGAGGGGAGGAAGTGACTGTGTCCGTGTCCGTGCTGAGGTACCGAAGCAGATAGGATTAAATTAATCGTATGATTACCGTATACAATTTTAAAGAACATACATGCTTTTATACAACATTGAGCGCTGCCACTTTTCTTGCAGATTACATGCATATTAATGAGATAATATAGTCAACAGGTCATAATGACAAAATAAACTTTATATCACCCTGAAGTTGATTCAGCGATAATGGCCAGCTGACTGTACCTTGTCCTGCTCACTATGCAACTACTGTATTCGTAGAATATGATATACTGATTTGAGTTTAATTATTTTATTACATAAGAAAAAATTTGACAACAGAATGCTGTGGGTATGTGACTGACTAATCAGAAACAAGTATTCCAGAGAGACTTGTAATAATGTTTTACTGCTTTTATTTATTAGTTTGAATTATACAAGGAATGAAAAGAACCAATTGAGTTCTGTTGAGTCCTCATTATGCTGAGATGAACCTACCTACCTCATGTCCTGGTTTGAGGAGCATCCTCAGGATTTTTTCAGTGAAGTACAGCGCATAGAATCCACCAAAGATCCCAACAGCTTGGAGGACGTAACCGTCTGCTTTTGGGTCAAACCCAAAGGCCTGTTCAATCAGGAATCAATCATGTAATCATGAGTCTTTAAACAAGTTAAGCCAGATATCCAGCTTTCCCCATGTGAACATGCATGTTATTAGTTCAAAGTTAAAACGTAAACCCAAAATAAATATTACAACATCTAATCAGTGCAAAACAAATATCACGTCATGCAACGATCATGCCATCACATATCAAGAAACATCTGCACTCTTCAGGAAAATACAAATGTCTGGAATGAATGAGTCCAGTTCAAAGAGCATTTTATTATGAAATCACTTTAAATAATCTGCATCAGCATCATTGTGCTGATAATTAAAGATGTGAACTAGTGTTGGTTCACACTCATACAATACCACCAATTTGACCTTCAACAACCTCCTAGAGGACTGACCTAAATGACATGAAGAAAGCTTCTGATGTAAATGAAATAAACTGAAAAATGAAAAAAGCATTTCACCTCGGGTATAAGTTGGAGAGCAGCATTGGAGAAGAGTGTGCCAACAGCCAGACCAATGAAGTAGGTGAGCACCTTGGGGAAGTAGGGCTTTTTAGTGACAGGAACAAGAGCCAGACCCAGCAGTGAGGCCAGATTAATGATGGTAACAGCCAAGAAGCCATATCCCCATACTATATGCAGAAGGAAAGGTGAGAGCTCTCACAGTTCAAGTTATACAGAAAGGTACATCATTTTTCATTCTAGTCTCTAAAAAAGAGAAAGAAAATGCTTTGTGTAAAGAAAGATTTTTGCTTTGTGACATTATTTTGAAGACAATTAAAAAATGTTCTGTAATTGCCATTATTCTCAATTGTGATTTTCATAACTGTAATACAGTGCATTTTTAGTGTATTACAGTATAAATGTGTGTAAGGCTCCAATAAAATGAAGAGATGAGTATTCCCTCACAAATACAGTCTATCTCTCAATGAGTAAAATTACTCTGTCTATTATAGACTACACAACATTATAATTATTTTCAAATTATATAAAAACAATCTAAAGAATTTATTAATCTAAATTGAAATTAATTTCAACATTTACTAATATATTATTGAAATCAAAAGTTGTATGTTCATATTGAATAGACGGGACTAACATGAACTAACAATGAAGAGGATTTTTTATTTACTAACATTAACAAAGAATAATAAATACTGTAACAAATGTGTTGCTCATTGTTAGTTAATGCATAAAATAATGGGACCTTATTGTAAAGTGTTAGCCATTATTTTTTATCTTTTATCTATGAGACTAGATTACATAAAGAAAATTGTGTTTTCTTTAATTTTTAAGACAATTAAACAGTTGTATGTAATTGACATTGGATTTTCATTACTGTTATAAGGTGCATTTTTTATTTTATAATAAAAATTATTGTTATACAGTGCTATTTTTATTTTTAAACTAAATGTATTTATTTCATTTTTATGTTTGTGAGAATTTTTATTTTTCATAAAGAAAGATTTGTAACATTATATGTAAGACAATTAAACACAATTGTCTGAAATTGCCATTGTTCTCAATGGTGATTTTCATGACTGTAATACAGTACATTTTAATCAATTATTGTACAAACTATTGTCATGCATCGTTCTTTTAAAGTCAGTACAAAAATAGTACTTTTAAAAATACTAGTTTAAATACCGGTAATATATCATTTTTATGTCTAAGTTAATTAGAAGTTGTGTTTTGCATAAGGAAAGATTTTTGCTTTGTGACAAAGTAATTGCCATGAAATTGCCATTATTCTCAACTCTGATTTTCATACAGAAAATGTTTAATGTTTTATTGTAAAACCTATGCAGTGTTTTATTCAAATAGCATGATAAAAAAATAGTCCTAATACAAATTAGAAAATATTTTAAATGTATACTTTTTCCCCAAGATTGTTTTGCATTACGTTAATGAGAATTGAGAGGGGAAAACTACTTTAATTGACATGATTATAATTTAAGATAAAAAGTGTAGGGCCTACAACTTTATTTCATGTGGCACATCCATCCCATCATTCTCTGCTTTCAGGATTCAAAATCTACAATAAGCTGGTTTACATCAGGAGAAAGGTCTTTGATAGCGCTGCACCATCATATGGAATTCACCCTCTGTCATGTGTGTGTGTGTGTGTGTGTGTACTGTGTACTGATCCAGGTTCTTCAGCACATGTAAGAAGACTCACCGTGAAGTTCTGTGGGATCAGTGAGGACGGGAGGTTCTGTTGAACAGGGTGGCAGCACTGCTTGGTTGAGCAGAGCCGGGCACACAGTGACCAGATGCTCCTCTGTTAGATGAGAGAGGTTCTGAAGCCCATAATGCACCAGAATATCTTCTCCGGACACACACTAATAAACAGGGTCACAAGTCAATGAAATAAGGCCATAATAAAGAACGACGAGACTAATCCTATTAAACAGTGTGAATATCTATGTTTCACTTGTTTTTCTGTATTCGTGCTCTCAAAATGTGTGGTATAATCAAATGCCAGAAAATAAAATGTCAAATGTTCTTTAAAAGTTTAGTAAATAGTGTTTGGTAGGCCTAACTCAAGTTAAAGTGACCATATTACCTGAGCATGCGGAGGAATGTTCGGATCCAAGGGCTTGTCTTGCACAATTGTCTTCAATAAACTGTTAATGCCATTGAGATCCAGTGAACCGTTTTTTCCGTAAACAGCCACGATATCCTTTATGAAAATCTGCTGCAGAGAGTTGGCTCCTAATCCTGAGATTACAGTTATTAGAAAGCCTAACACATGAGTAAAAGCTTTGGGAATGCCTGCCATGCTTACAGAACACACGTTTCCACTCTGAAGCGACCCGAATGAAGCAAAAGCAGCGAGAGTTTTAAATGTCCCCTCTGGAGATTATCCCGGGAGCGGCGCGCGACTCCAGAGGACTAACGTTATCGTATACGAAGAAAGTTGCATCTTAAGAATAAAGATAAGAACTATTAAAAGAGTTAATTATTTCTTCCCCAATAGTATCCTCGGTGACCTGACTAATATGTCGCGCCTCCATTTGGCACTCAGCCCACCATGATAAATGCTGGTTTCACCCACAAATAAAGTTCTCAAACTAGTAGCTGCTAACGTTAATTTAGCCAACTGTGGTCGAAACATCTCGACTGTTATTCTAGCAGAAGTGGATCCATCAAAACAATCCAGTGAGCCCTACACTTAGGCTAATTCACTTTTGCAAGTTAGATTACAAAATCGAGTTAATACAAAGAAATAAAATGCGAAAGAATACGTCGTGCTAAATACATCACAGTGATGAATTTAGTGCTAACAAACATTTTGCATAATTTATTGTGTATGGGCGGAGCCTCGATGCGCATTTATTTAATTCAATTTCAATGACAATAATCGAAAATTTTAAAATACTTATGGATCCACATGTTACAGACAGTCAGTGCAGATATATTTACATTATTAAATACCGATAGAGGTAATCTTGGGAAAAATTGAAGTGGCAAACTCTGCTTATTAAAGTGATGCTCAAGATCAAATGATCAGTTCCAAATTGTAATATGCCTACAAAATGGTGAAGTAAATGTACTATTCCTAATACAAATGGCTTTATATTGTAAATATAAGTTGTTGTTTTTTTTAGCTTATATATATGAGATGGTGTAGGAAACTGCATCTGGCACAATCTGGCACAATAGGCGTTTTAAATTAGTGAAGTTTTTTTTTTTTTTTATGTCCAACAATGATATGTAGGAATAATAATGCTGGAATTTGTGTACATTTAGTTTATGTTGGAATCCTATAAGAATATGATATAGAGTTAGTATATAATTTTAGTATAGTAAAATTACTATATTTAAATTACACTAGATTTTCTGCTTGTAGAGCTCGACTGTAAAATGTACCTGTACAACACTCCCATCTAACGGGGCAACTGAGTACACCACTGCCGATCATGAGCGTAGAAGAAGAGTTACTACTTCCGGCAGTGAGTTGAACGCTGGGATGGCGCTGCACCATCAAATGGAATTCGCCCTCTGTCATGTGCACTGATCCAGTTTCTTCAGAGAAACACACATCTCCGTCCTTTTAGCACGAGGTATATACTTATTTATTTACGTCCATTGATCCGCACTTTGATCCTCAAGTATTTGTGGGCTTGAAGAGACAAGCAGTTAGTAACTTTGTATACAACTTACTCTACTGCAGCTTCATCACTGACAGCTGATTAGACTTACAACAGACAGTCAGTGTGGGATGTTCAAACACTGGTCATCTTTTAGGGGCAATGTGAGAAACCCGATAAGCATTTTAATGTTCTAGATTTCACACAAACCTATTGAAGTGTCACTGTCCAGTTATCAGTGATTACTGAATAGTCATGCATTATGAATGAGAGGTTATGACATGTCCAGTGTCTAACTTATGTTCTGTTTCAGAAACTGAGTAAAATCCTTTTCTAATAGTCAAAAACATCCTCTAAAGTTTAATAACCAGTGATAGATAATTTGTATTGTATATGGGTTTTTTAAACTGGGGTCCGGGGCTCCATAAGAGTGACAGGGGGTCCGGTCGGGTGGGGGTGTGGGGTGATTAAAATAAGTAAACAACAAATCAAACAAATCAATACAAATGTGATTCAAATAAAAAAAATTATTCATCTTTGAAATAGATTATATTAAAATAAACAGACATTTTGATTCATGTAAATAAATAAAAAATTGATTAAAATTGAATAAATAAATAATACATTAAACAGTACATTACTATAGTGAGTAGAAAAAATAATATAATAATGTAACTTAATAGAAACTAATACTACACTTATAATATAAAATTTTCAGTGTATAAATTGGGTGTTTATAAAAGATAGATGCCTTTTAAATTTTAGGATGGGGTCCCTGACACGGGGATGATCATATTTGGGGGTCTGTGGCATCTAAATGATTGAAAAGCCCTGGTCTAGCCGGTGTTCTGTTAAGTGTGTGTTGTGCTGCTCAGTTCTTATATATTGGAATGTGTAAAGCCTAAAGCTGACTGACGGATTATGTTGATTAAGTGTATTTTGTTCTCTGCAGAAGAATGTTTTTTTGTCAATGGGTGTGAGTCGGCTTGATGTTCTGTACAGAAGGCTTCTCCTCACCAAACTCTTCATCCAAGGATGGGGGAAGCCAGAGGACCTGAAAAGGTAAACTAGAAACAATAAAAACAAATAGCATCACATGACTTCACTTATGATAGTGGGGTGAAGCTTATACAGAAGCTTATACTTATAAAATATTGATGCTAGAATAATAATTAGCAGTGATATAAACATTATAGTTGTTGATGTATGGCTTATAGAATGTGCAAAGATGCACTCAGTTATTTTTTGTTGTAAAAAAATGTGTGTAGGGCCAAAAATGCACACTTAAAAATTACTTTGTTTGAATAAGATTTCGAGCATGTAGTCTTTTGTACAGGCAGTAAAATAGTACATGATCAGTCACATCATGGTAATGAATAGTAGTGAATAAAACACCTAAATTGTGTATATAAAAATTGACAACCAGTTTGACAATGAACAAAAAAAAAAAACCACTGAGTGCACCTTTAATGATATTAACTTGTTTAATTTAAATTGCTTTATGGATATTACAGAATATTTGAGTTCCGGAAGATTATTGGCAACAGGGAGAGGTGCAAAGATCTGGTACAGAGGGACTACCCAATATTTATTGACAAAGTAAGAGACATTATTGTTAGTAATAGTAACTATAGTTTATGCATATACTGTATATTATTCAGCACAATTGAAAATTGTATAATGACCTATTAACTGTGTGTTACCGCTGTGCCCAAAGGTAGAAGATCAATCAGATTGCAAAATTCACAACGGTCATTTCATATCGCCACTGGAGCACTTTGTCCCGGGCATCTTGCCAGCCGAGTCCGTCAAAGCCCGGTAGCCAAAACAAATCACCCACAAACATTGAATGCAAATGCGAAGGATTAATGTGACTTATTGTGTGGCTTTTATTCAAAGTTCTTTCAAATGAAGACATTTTGTTTCAACTTTACCACCAGATTCCAGTTCATTGTACCTAAGAAATGGAAGAGGCACAGACCAGTCTGTATTCACCTGGCTGGAACAGGAGACCATGTGAGTGTGCAAAAACTGCCATTGTTTGGCTGTGCTTCTGTTCAATCTCAGCATTATGAAGTTTTTCTTTGGGATAAACGATATACACTAAACTTCAAAAGTTAGGGGTGTTCATCTTTTAAAAAAAAATGTTATTTTATGTTTATTTAAAATGTTTTAAAACTATTAAATAGTATTTAGTATTTAATATTATTTTGTATTAGCTAGAGTTTTATTTGAATTTGATGCATCTCTGTTTTTTTCTTTCATTTTTTTTCAGTTTTTCTGGAGAAGGCGAACACTAATGGCCAGGCCGATGGTTAAAGAATCAGGGATGGCATCTCTTCTGTTGGAGAATCCTTATTATATCCTTAAAAATTCTAAACTATAGACATATTAGTTTGCCATGTTGACTCTTAGTATCAAAATCTCATCTGACACCTCCTTGACTCTGAGCTGTACATGGATACAGGAAACCTAAAGACCAACTGTGAGTTTGATTACTGGCAGCAGCTGTGGTGGAAGCTATTGTTGTCCATGTCTTTTTTATATGGAGCGTTAGTATGAACAATTCATGTTTACTATTACAATGTATATGATGTGCGTTTATTGCAGTCGCTCCAGTCTGAAGAACGTATCAGACCTGTTTGTGATGGGTGGAGCACTGATCCTGGAGTCCGCTGTGCTGTTACACTGGCTGGAGCGAGAGGGTTTCTGGCCGCTGGGCATGACTGGCATTTCTATGGGCGGACATGTAGGTTCTGCATTCCTCATTTACATTATCGGACTTTATTACTTCATGTTGTTTTCAATCCACTGTGTTTAGAAGAACCTGTTCCATATCCTATATAACATATCACAAATCTACTGTTGGTTTGTTGACTCATTTCTTCCTAGATGGCATCATTAGCTGTAACCAACTGGCCCAAACCAATTCCGCTCATACCTTGTTTATCCTGGACGACTGCTTCAAGTGTTTTTACCACAGTAAGAATAAAACTATGTTTTAGCATCATATTGTGGCGTATTAATGTTGCCTACAAGTCATTTTGGATTGGTTGTATTTCTAAGATGCCACAATATCATAATTTCCGGTGAGAAACTTAAACTTGATTTAGTTTGGATTTATCAAGTCAGTTGTCTACTTTTTAGTTTTGAATGCAATTTGTGATCTTTTAATCATCAATAACTATAAATCCTCCCAGAAATAACTGCTTATTAAGCAAGTTTATGAAATGTACGGCTCTGCGGCAGCACAAGAATGTAAGTGATGATAAAACGCATAGATAAAGCATCAATGGCATTAGTGCTGAAAAGCTCCTGCATTTTAGCTTATATTTGTCAGAAAATGAAAAAAGAAAGTGAAAGTATGCAGCAGTGTTCCAGTAACACTGGAAATTGTTATTAGTTTTTAAAAATACTATTTTTTGTTTTATATAAGGGGCCATTTTCTCAACTTTTAATGCGTTTTGGCAGTAAAAGTGTCATCGTGCCAGACCTGCCAACATGTACGCATTTTGCGTAGCGGGCACGCATTTTGACCTCAAAGTTTGCTGGTACGATTTGTCACTCTAAACTACGCAAAAACCTGGTGACGCCTCTTTGCACGCGCAGTCCTCAAATCAAGCAACACCAAAAGAAGAAGAGTTCGACCAATCATAGCGCTGGGTTCGCCAAATTGCAAGCGGAGATGATTGACAGATGCGTAAGTCCTATGATTAAAGGGGTCATATAATGCCATTTTTGTACAAGCTAATATGATTCTTTAGAGTCTAAATTAAAACTTTGTAATATACTTTAATTAAAAATTCTCATTAGTATTGTAAGAAAACACTTATTTTACCTGGTCAAAAACAGCTCTGTTTTCAGCACGCCGTTTCAGTGCATATGACTTTAAATGATAATGAGCTTTGCTCACCCCGCCTCTCTGTGCTGTGCGTACACCGTTTGTAACACAATAACCATAACGCGTTGTTCATTATAGACGTGGGATTATCAATTATATTGAGAACGTCGTACATAGAAAACATGCCGTAATGTACCCTGAGTGTAAACCTTAGACACATTCATTGTGAAGCGTGCATCTAGCGATTTGCAAAGATTAATATAAATATTAAAGGTTAATAAAACGTTACACTCACTTCAGTTATTTTGGAGGTTCAGCAGGAACACGAATAGTTGGTACCGGTCCAGGAGCAGCTTCTTAGCAAAACCAGCTTTATACTGACCCTCCTCGTTTATAAAGCAGTCTGGTGTGTGAAATGATTGGCGCAAACATGAGAGCATTGACGTTGCTCGTGGGGAATATTCCCTTCGAAAACAAACTCAGCCACTGCGTCTTCAGCGTTTCGGATTTAGGAACATTAAAATGACTGCTGTGTTCGTTATTACACCCAAGAACAGAACACCACAATCGCTTAGACGCCATTCTGCTCATAGACAGTGCTCCAGCATATCAACAATGACCGCGCCGGTCCGCGCAGACTATGATTGACAGCTCCCTCATGAGCGAGGGCGGGTCTGTGTTGAAACGCCGCTGTCATTCAACAATCGTGGGAGGGGCTTCCGAGCGTGTGACGTCACAGGCTCGAACGGCTCGATTTGAGGCAGTGGAAAACATATAAGGAGATTAAAACAAAAACACTGGATGGATTTTTATCATTTTATGATGTTTGTGTACAGGCACTGCCAACACACATTTCAGTACAATCAACTTGTAAAAGTGGATGTACCATTATATGACCCCTTTAAAAAGAGACTGAAAATCGACACCAATAAAGAATCCCGCTCGATCCACCCTCCACTCGCCCGCGCCCGCCGTCTGACTGATTTAAGCGAGGACAGTCGGCCTACAGTAGTCACGGTACTTCTGACTCCTGAAGGTAAACGGGCTGGGGTGGATGTGGAAAGTTGAAATATTGTATTTGAGTTCATTTAAAATGGATTGGTTATCACACGGGGACGGGAGTGATCGCATGGATTATTTAAAAAATACTCCGTAATACGTGCATGCATGCGTATTATGTGTTCAGTCTATAGGCGCGTGGTGTTTCTTTACAAATTGACTTCGCCAACTACTGGCCTGGCAGCAGAATACAGCGTTTTTAATCGTTTTCGCCGGTCCGTGTGAACGGGGTTCATTTTGACAACGTTGTCGTCTGTACGCAAAAAACGCAAAGGAAAAACTTTTCCGTTCTTAGTACATCGTTGTCATGTAAATGTACCCTAAGATTCAAGTTTCACGCATATTTTAAATTAGTTTTTATTTTTATATTTCCTTTTTTATTAGTCTATATTGATTTTATTCACTTTTTATTTCAGTTTTAAAGGGATAGTTCAATCCTTTCTTCTGTTGAACACAAAAATAAGATCATTTAAACAATGTTGGTAACCAGACAATTGACGATAGCCATTGACTTCCAAATAGGACAAAAATATTATGGAAGTCAACAGTCTGGTTACGTCAAAAGATCTTCTTTTGTGTTCAGCAGAATAAAAGAAACTCATACAGGTTTGGAACAACTTGAATTTTCATTTTTGCAGGAACTATGTTTACGTTATTTTAATACATCAAATAAAAATAAAAATGAGTGATGTTGCCTTTGCAATTATCTGAATTAAGTTTTCTTATATTATTTTATCTCAATTAGGGTTTATTTAGCATGTAACACATTTTTTTTTAAATGGTTTTAGTTTAACTATAATAACCCTGGTATGTAGGGACTTCCCAGGACATAAAGACAGTATTAGTCACTTACCTATTGAACTTTGTAGCTTTGAATAACTTTACGTCTTCATTCCGGTGTCAGTGAATTGATAGCATCAGAACATGATTCTATAGATGTCACCATGTGTTACTCATTCATTCATTCATGAATAACTAAGTTGGGTGTCTTTCTTAACATCACATTTATTCATTTGATCTTCTGCAGGGTGTTTTAAGTCGAGCCGTGAACTGGAGAGAACTGGAAAAGCAGTATGCAGCTCACACAGTCTATGAGCAAGAAATCATCAGTATGCTGGAGTATTGTGGGGTAAGTATGTTATTCTGTGGCAGAGTTTTGCTGTAATTTAGCTTGTGGACACCACAAAAGATCACAGAGGAAGATATGATTTGTTCCTTGCATTATGTATCACATGACTGATGTTGAATGTGCAACATTTTTGACTAATCACTCACTGGCACACCCCTGATTTTCAGACAGACTCTTTCCGTATGGGCCAGGAATTCGTAAAAAATGCCCCAGGCAGCTTTGACAGTCTCTCTGACCTGGATCTTGGCCATGACCTTCTTGACCTCCACTCGCCAGAGAGGGACCAGCAGATGGGGCAGCGCTCCTCGTGTTCTCAGCCCGGGACTGGAGGTCACGCGGCAGACTCAGCCCTGCTGATGGGGCGAAGAGAGAGAGATGGACTAGATCAGATGCTATCCGCTGTGAGCAGCAGCGGGCCTCATTTGGACATGCTACATGCTAAGAACATCACCTACGGGACCGGCCAGCGGCAGTCGCTGCAGCGGGAGTCTTTCTGCTTCATGAAGGGAGTGATGGACGAATGCACACACATCGCCAATTTTTCAGGTACTACATCTGTTTTGTTTTGCACATGGTTTGGCTTGTGTTCCTGGGTTTGATCCTCTTTCTTTTTTGCATGCTTTTTCTCCAGTGCCTGTGGATCCCAGTCTGATCATTATAGTCCAGGCAAAGGAAGACGCTTATATTCCCCGCACTGGAGTACGCAGCTTACAGGAGATCTGGCCTGGCTGTGAGGTTCGCTACCTCAAAGGAGGTCACATCAGCGCCTACCTTTTCAAACAAAGGCTGTTTCGGTAAGCAAGCACAGTCAACTTTTAGAAAAGGGAAATATCCATGGAGTTTAAATAGATATTTTACCCAAAACCTGTATGACTTTTTGGTAACACTTTACGATAAGGTTCATTAGTTCACGTTAATTAATGTATTTGCTAACATGAACTTACAATGAGCAATGCATTTGTTTCAGTATTTAATAATCTTTGTTAATGTTAGTTAATAAAAATGCAGCTGTTCATTGTCAAGTTAGTTCACAATGTACTAATATTTACTAATATTATTTAGTCAGTGAACGAAACATTTAGAATGTTTTTATAAACTACATCAATTCATTGAAAAAGTCCAATTCAAAGGAATGATTCGTTCACAAATCCCAGCTTCTCTTATGAACGTAGTTAGTGTGGAAGTCAAGATTATTAGTGAATAACAACAGGTTTCTCACAAGCAATGACTTCAGAAAACTTGAATATACACATGCACTACATTCATCATGATTCTTTATGGTGTTTTGCATCCTTTTTTAAGTTTTTGTTATGTTTTGTTCATCCTGAATTTTTTTTATTATGGTTTTCTCAAAAATATTAAGCAGCACAACTGTTTTCAAAATTGATTATAATAACAAAGGTTGTAATAATGCTGCTATGGTGAGCATCAAACATTTGAACACTGGGGTATATGCTGCGGTGTATTTTTTTTTTCAGTTAATTATTCCTTTAATAGTGATCAATGTTAATTATGTGGTTAAACTGTAGCATATTGCTTATAATCATGTGAATTAACCATATGTCCAATAATTTTAAATACATGCATTAACTTTTGAATTTCATGCTTGATTGTTGACTTCCAGGCAAGCGATTTACGACGCCTACGACCGGTTTCTTCACAAGTATTCCAGCTTATAGCCATGGATTTTTTGGGACTCAGCACTGACAAGAATTTTGAAAGTATGTGGAGATGGAGAACACTGAATGTGATGTGTGATTTTTACAGAAGACTGTGTAAATGTAACCAAAGGGAGGCAGTGTGCAGCGGTTGTAGTGACAGAACTGTGTTACTCTGTGTGGTACACCTCAAAACTCACAGTGACCTAAAGCTAACTTACATGTGCTCAACCCATACAAAACCTTGTCTTCCTGACCTCACTGCCTTTAATCATATATATAATCATGACTGAAACATAATTCACCAAACTAGACAAAGATGTGCCTCCAAACCATAATTCACTCACACATCAAGGTGTCTTTAAATCTCTTAATGAAGAAGATCTCTGAAAATATAGTATTTTGAATTGTAAGGAAAATAAATGAACTTTTGGCACTCTATATTTTTGTTTCACCAACATAGAATATCCTGATTTGCAGAGCAAATGTTTGCCTGTTTTTAGAAAATAATACATCAGGAAAATGGCCTTGACATGGGCAGACCATTGTTTTAATCTCAGATATGAAGAAAAAAAAGTTTAACAAATTCAGATGAGGATTCAAAATATATATATATATATATATTTTTTTGTGAACTGCATTCTTAAAAATCAGTGCTGCGTGTATTTCAAACTCTTAAATCCTAATCACTGCCAATACTACAGTAACAACTAACAATTGTAGTTTCAATAAATGTAAATGTTTTATATATCACTACTGTCACTTGATCTAATCTGCCATGTGTTCACTATTCTCTGTATTCATCATGAGCCATTTGTTTAATTTCATTTGTTCCTCTCTATAATAAAAAGGAAATCCTAAATATTGAAGTGTCATTTTTTTCCCCTTCAAAATGAAACTTACAAACTAACTGCTAAAATAACAGTGAAATATTATAATGACAATATTTGAGTCGGAGACCAAACAAATACACTGTAAGATATTGAAGACAATATTTTGCCAAGTAGTATGGATTCTCAGACTTTTTTTTCTTCAGCATACAACACTGGTAAACAAAATGGAGAAATTAAGTTTAATTTTTTTTAAACAACTTTACATTTGCAGAACTACAGGAGATTTAATGTTTGACAAAGGGAGATGAAATGTGTGAACATATCTTTATAAACAGACAATGTATATATTAATACTTTTTATAAATAAAGTGTATGCAAAACAATGTTTAATCTATGATCATACAACTACCCATAATTAACAACTAGAGAAATAAGAAATGGAAGCTGAAATTAAGTAAAAGTATGGTTATCTGAGTGATTTAGATGTATGACAGGGTAAAGAAGTATCCATGTACTGTGCAGTTTTTGTGAGTTTAATTTTTTTTTAAAATACAGATAAAGTTTTGTATGATACAATGTAAAAAGTTGCTGCCTTAAATTTTTAAGTACAATAAATTTGGATGTTTAAGTCATTTCAACTTAAATATTATTAAACTGATTTAAGAGTTGAATAACTTATGTTGTATAACTTACCGGTATACAATTTTTGAAAATTGATCAGTTAAAGCAATGTGAAAACATATGTTGTAATACCTTATTGACTATTTATTTACAGTGTATAGATGGATTTTTAAAATCACGTAAAAATATATATATATATAATAAATTATTAAACTTCATATAATGTTCTAAACACAACATAAGCGCATAAAAATAGATATTTTATTTTAATGTATAATTTTACTGGCGTTACTCACATCAAAGAACATATTTGCATGTACGTATTAAAGCTGCACGTGATTACTATGTTGATATTTCTCCTTCTCTCCTGCACTACTGTAGTTTGATACTCTGTCATCTGGAAGTCTTGCCCTCATTAAACATGGAGTCCTCGGGTTTCCCCTTCCTTACTGAAGCCGTTTGCCATCAGTACGTGTGACCCCTGAACCTGCTCGAGTGTGTGTGTGTGTGTGTGTGTGTGTGTGTGTGTGTGTGTGTGTGTGTGTGTGTGTGTGTGCGCGCGCGTGCCAGTCCTCCGCCATATTCACTGTTGTCTTGCCTTGAGAAAGAACAGGGAGCATTCGAGACTGCCCACAAGAACCGAAACTGTGTTTATACACCGAGCCTGGAGACCAGCCGACGGGCATAATACGGACTAAAGCGATGGCGAGGAAAAAAAGCAAGCAGCAGGGCGTCGGGGCCAAGGATTTAGTGTCGGGACAGCAGCAGCAGCAGCAGCAGAGCCTGTCGAAGAAGCCCGGCGATGCGGGAGCAGCAGCAGCAGAAGCGGCGGCGACAGCAGGCGGAGGCGCTGGTGCTGGAGGAGATGCAGGAGCGAGCAGGACCAATCAGGTAACTGTTAGCTAATGCTAACACGTCCATCCAACAGCACACCTCCTCGAGCCGGTTCTCGCTGTTAGAGACTTGGTTTTGTAAACTATTTTAACGGGCGCTTTATTTAGGGTTCTATTGCACGTGCAGTTATTTGTGTTTTCGCGCTTATTTTGCGTTTTGTAGCGCCTGATTAGCGATGTCCGATTCATGAACGACTTGTTCTTTGGAGTCGGATCTTTTGTGATTTGATCGAACCGATTCGCAAAATTGGTCTGAACGATTCGTTCAGGAATCGGACGGAATCTGTCAGAATAGTTCTCGGATCAAAGTATCTGACTGACAGCCGTTTTCAGAAACGTACGCGTTGTATGGAGCTGAAGCCGATAAGTAATGTGTTAGTAAGAGCATTTTGAGTGATGTGGTGAAAAAGTATATTATTTTAATAGCCCATAACAGAAATGTTATAAAATTGTAATGACAATGTTTATGATTTGATTAAATGGCAGTCTCAAAACAGTTTCTTTTAATAAAAAGCGTTTTATTAAAAAATAACATTTTAAATAGACAATGCAATGTAAATCTTATTATTGTTTGATGTAAATGTAAATTATATTTAAACGTTGTTATAAAATGGATTTGTTTTAATGAGCCGAATCATGTCTAAAACAAACTGAGCTTGGAGCCGGATACCTGAATTACACTTTTATAAAATGTAAAATAAAACAGAAAATAGAACCTAATAAACAGTAGGCTAATATATGTGCAGTTTGCATATAATATGCCACGCCAGGATGGACCACATATGTGGATATGTCTTTGAGGGACCATGTGATGGCGCGATTACTTCCCGACGTAAAATAATACCTGAATCTGTTTTGGAACCGGTTCTTCGAAACGAACTGTTCGAAAGAATCGTTTCTCGGAAATGAGTCGGATTTCCCATCACTACGCTTGCTCTCGCGCTGAACGGGCGGAGCAGCACTAGCTCGCTCGCAACCTATGCAACGATATAAATAAATAAATGTGTTGCCTTCACAGCGTTTTGATAGCCCCAAGCAGTGCAGTACTTTACATCTGAATGTTTTATACGACACTGGTTGTTTAGATATAACGTTAGCTGGTTCAAGAAAGCTAAACGAAAGTCCGTGAAGCACAAAGCTAACTGTGTTGCTGTCGTCTATTGCTGTGGCTGGCTACTAAATTATTTCTGTAGAGCTCAAGGTAAAGCGGCGCTACTAACCCAGCCACAATCTCACTTTATGCGGTGACACAATTAACGTTACTTTGTGTTTGTGCATTAAAAGACTTAAGAGGCGTATTTGTGTCAATGGTTACCATATTGCCATACGATTACATTTTGGCTGCCTTTCAGGTTTACCAACCTGCTAATATCTGCAACACTATAAAATGTTACACTTTCAATTCACAAACACGTCAATAACGGAAAAATGTTTGAGCTTATGCATTTAGCAATGGGCTTGTCGTGATAAGAGTGTGTACAGTGGATTCTCAATGTGTGGTATTTGTTTTGGTGGGTTACAGTAGTCTTGCTGAACCCTTTCAATTTTCTGCAATAGTTGAAACAGTAAAAAAAAATTAAAAAAAACCCTGATATTTATAATGTAATTTATGTGCACAGGTCTGTTTTACAATTTAACAACTTATTTGCAAAGAATCATGCTTTAATTATTGAGTTCCTGCTATAAAAAGCTTTTCTACTGATCTACTGACCAGTCAGTCATTGAATTGACAGACAGCGTTTTTGTCTGAATATTTTTAATGAACTGTGCTTTCTTCCAAAACACTATAACATTATCTCTAATGATCTAGAACAAATTAAAATGAGCTTTAGACATAACCAAGCAAATATTTAATGTCTGCAGACAGTGCTTATTTCCTTGTAGAAAATGAATCGTAATAATTTTACGGGGGCAGGGGGGGGGGGGGGCTTTTATGAACCCATTTATGAACCCATTTAACTTGATTTTACTCCATTGGATCCCTTTTTTAATTTTTCTACCGACTACTGAACAACTTGCACAAGATTGTGGGATATCTACGGTTCCCACGGTCATGAAATACCTGGACAAATCAGGGAATTTTTGATTTTCAGGCATGAAAAAATAATAGATATTTTAGTGAATATAATTTCTTGGTTTCAGATGCAGTTCATTACAATTTTTCCATCTGTTTTTGTCAACTTATTTGCTCTGATCACACAGTCCATGCATACATGCTGCTTGCTGTGCCATCGGGAGTTTAAAGACTGGGGGGCAGGCCAGGTGAATGGGCTTCCCAGTCACGGGTCCAAACTGGCGGAGGCTGTGCCTGCGCTGTCCCAGGCCCTGCTTAGGGAGGTTCCGGGCCGCAAGCTGGCAGACGCCGTGCCTTCGCTCTCTCAGTCGCTGTTGGGTGAGGTGCCGCTGTGGATCTGCCAGAGCTGCAGGAAGAGTGTGGAAGAGGAGGAGAGGAGAACGGTTCAGGAGCAAACTACGCAGGTTATTGAGACAGAATATATTACATATACATACATATATATATATATATATTTATATAGGCTATGGGTTAATTCATAGAAATTAGTGTGTATAGATACAACTTGCTCAACTTTAGAATGTGTTGAATCTGATCTGCACATATTTATCTTAACCATAAGCATGTCAACATTTTTGTAAGAAGCAATAATTTGTACTTCCTAATATAGAATAATAATAAAAAAAATTGGACACTGTAGACATCATTGCATTAAATACAAAACATCAAACCAAGTGGTAAACAAATCATGCTAAAGCCTTTTTGAAAACTAACTTCACTGTTCTAAACCATTCTTGTTCATTTTAATTAACCACCAGTATAGTAGTTAGTAGCTGTATGAAGTCCGTTCCCTTTAAGTTCACACACGTTTAACAAATATTTGACATCCAGAAAGTGTCCAAAT